GGAGGCCCAAGGACTCAGCAGTATCACCTTTGCAGATGCCTTGCCTCTTGCTAAAACAGCTGGAAAAACACAGTTGCCTGAAGCTCTGCTGGAAGCAGAGATGTTTGTCAAGGGTTTGGCATCACAGGGTCTTTGGGGGAGTCTGCTGGAGGCTTGGACTGGTCAAGGAAGAGGCTTCCACCACAGCTTCCCACTGTGCCCTTCTGCTAGGAAAAGAAAGCAGCAGGGCCAGTGTTGTAGCTCAGCTCTGGGATCCTGTCATTCCTCTGGCTGTGGAGATCACGAGCCCAGCCAGGGATAATGTATGTAGGCTCACATTATTGAGGAGTGATGAGCAAAGGCAAAATGTTGGGCACGTCTCTCCGCTTGCCACTGTGCTAGGAAAGGAACAACACTGACAGCAGAGGTCTGTGGGAATGGGAAAAGAACTGGAAATTGCTCCTTTTCTGTGTCCAGAGAGGCCTAGCATGGATGGTAAGGACATTATGTGCATAATGAAGCTCTTCTTGTGCAAGCTGGGTTTGTGTTCAGGATTATGTAATAATATCTAATTAGCTATAGGGAAGTGGTGTTTAATACATAGAGACCTCAAACCTGCTTTGTAGGGATCTTTTGATCATCTGAGTTACCGCTTGAATCTGAGTATTATATCTGACTGTTTCTTGGTGAGGGAGCAGTTGTGAAGAGCTGAGCAACTCAGTGGTGAGAAGGGTAGGAAAGATGGACAATAAACCATTATCCAACACTCAGTAACACATTTGCATAGTACGGAGAACAAAGCTGTTAAACAAATATGATATCTCTTTGCCCTGCCTTCCCTGAAAGTGAGACTCAGCAAAGTTTTGGTTGAAATACTTATGTTACCTTTTTTTTTCATTAATTTTTCTTCCTGACTTGTTGCCATTTTGTGTACTGTTTGGACTATTCTGATGTTGTAATTGCCTCCTTTAAGCCTTAGAGTCTCCTTCAGCAAACAGGCTCGTCCTTTCCACCTGTAGAGAAAATGTCCTGAAGGAAACATCCCAATGAAATCAGAATGCTTTGCTTTGCTGGCATTTAGAACTGCAATCACTCCTGCTAACACCCCTGATTCTCTGTGTTAGAGGTAATAACAATGAACTGGTTGGTTAGAATTACCAAAATGAGGATGTGAGAAAGGAATGAAAGCAAAAGGTGTTGCTAACAAGCACTGGGGGAGTGAGGATGTTTGAGAAGGTGAACCTGGATGGCTAAGTCTAGCCCCCAGCGTTAAGAGATGTTAAAACTCTTAAAACTGAAAGAAAGGAAGTCTGGAGAGTCTTTGTATTCTGACCATTCTTGGAATGACAATGATGATCCTGTGTAGAGCAGAAGCATTTGATTCTTAATCCTGCTAAAACTGCATTTCAGTCAATGTCTTTGGTCACATCTGGAGCTCAGCAGTGAAATCCACTTTCACCAGTTGTCTTCGCAGAAACACTTGGGTGTGAAACATCCTGGTTTGTTTCTTCCTTTCACCTGCTTCACCTTAACAAATAACTTGAGAGCACCACAAGCATCTCTTCTTTGAAGAGCAGTAAAGAATTCAAGTGAGAAACTCTAACCTGAGCAATGTTTATTTGGGGAGAGAACAAAGTCTGCTGAGATGTTTAGAAGGGTTGGAACTGCTAACACACATATCCAAGGGGGATGTTTGCTAGGACTGGGCAAGGATATGGGGTAAATATGGCAATCGATCCCAGGGAAAAAGGCAATAAATCAGTCAAAGTGGCTGTAGTGAGGAGTGGGAACAGCTTTATGCAATGTTTGCCTAGTTGATAGCATCATTTACTGTATAAATAACTATCTCTGTGAACATTTTACTGCTTTCCACACATATTTCCCACAGCTGGCAAGTGTGTTTGTTTATGTATCTATAAACCACCCTGCAAATCCTGCTCTCAAGCTGCCCTTGTGTCAGAATTATAAATGCAGCCTATTACAAGCTTATTTGTAAAATTAGCCAGATGAACCTAAAGTTATCTCTTTAGCTTTGTGCTTAGTTGTTTGACAGCTGTAAATCTGCAGATTGTTTTCTTTCCTTGGTACTGTTTCCATGTTCATGTGTTGACTTTCTGGGGCAGAGGGAATTGCCAGAGTGTCACCTAGTGCACTGCACTGGCCAGATGCAGCTTCACAAGGTTTGAGGGTCTTGCTGGCTTAAGGAGGTTCAAATACTTCATATTTCCTGTGTTAGAAAATGTTGTTTTATGTAAATAAATGCAGGTCTAGAGGAGGGATTTAGCAGCCTTCCATTATCTGAAGAGGCTCCAGGGAAGCTGCAGAGGGATCTGTGTTAGGAGCTGCAGGGACAGGACAAGGAGCAATGGGGAGAAATTGAAGGAGAAATTTAGGCTAGATAGTAGGAAGAAGTTTTCCCTGTGCGGGTGGTGAGACACTGGCCCAGGTTGCCCAGGGAGGCTGTGGCTGCCCCAACCCTGGCAGTGTTCACAGCCAGGTTGGATGAGCCTTGAGCAACCTGCTCTGGTGGGAGGTGTCCCTGCCCAGGGCAGGGGTTGGGGCTGGATCACCTCTAAGCTCCATTCCAACCCTTAAATTCTATGATTCTATGATTCTATGCCATTGACCAGTTAGGTATGATGGGTTGTCTTGAGGGTTGGAGATTGCTGCTGTGAGCAGCTTCTTTTGCTGCTCTCACTCTACATCAGGTGTAAGAATGAGATGTGAATATATGACAGACAAGGTTTTGGTGTTTGCCAGGATGTAACTTGTAAATATTTATAAATTAAAAGGGGGGAAATGTCTGGTTTTGGTAGAAGATTGCCCTGATTGCACCTTCAACAAAGAGAACCCAATGCATGTGGACAAAGCACAGAGCAAGTAGCTACTTCTGCACAAGCATGTTTTAGAAATTGTGCTGGTAATTGGGACGTTAATCTCTTTGATGCCATGGTTAAGCAGCTTTATTTGATGCCTTCCCCTCATATGCCATGCAGCAGGAGACCCTAACCAAACAGAACAAATCAGAGCAGATAAAATGCTAAGTGTGACTACCTATGCAGTACCAGGGAAAGACCTTAGTCCTGGAGGACTTCAGTGGGTTTTCAAATCACTGCAGTCAGTTCCTTTCTTCATGTAGACTCAGGAGATTGGAGATAATGATAGATTTGATTTTTTTATCTTAAATTTTTCCAGGCCAGGCAGTCTCTGTTCCCTCCAGTGAAGGCTGATCACAGCTGGGTGGAAGATGTGGTCAGTGTCAGCGCAGCAAAGAGAACCCAGAGAGCTGTGTGGGTGTGCAGGGGTGAAGATGAGGTAAGAGAGGGAGAGTTAAACAGTGCAGAGTGATGAGGCTGAAGACAACAAAGCTAGATTTGCTGCACTGCAGAAGGATTCTGTCTTTTGATCTTGTAGGTGGTTTTGGTGAGATATTTTTTTATTCTTCCACTCCTTGCCAATCATTTCTCTGGAAAACATGGTGTTCAGTAAACCTGCAAACACACAGAACCCTCTGGGATGTCAAGTTCCCTCAGCTGCAAGTCAGAAACTCCAAATGGTGTCACTAACAAACAGCAGTTTCCTCATGGTTTCACCTGAAGGTGATGCAGATGTTGAAATCTCGATGCCTACTGCACTTATCAGGAACACTAAACATTTCATCTTGATTTCTCTTCAGTACCACCTACTTCCTGGAAAATTTGGAAGCTTTGTGTTTACCACTTCAACTTCTCTGCCAAGTTCCTTTCAATGTTTTTTTTTTTTCCCTGCTCCATTTTTGTCTCACACGTTTATTATATGGTGACAAATGCAGTTTTCTCCTGACACCACATAATAGATGTGTGAAACACACACACATGTTCTAGTAAGAGACTGCTCTTTATTTCCTGGCTCCAGTTGCAAAACATGAGTCAGGGTTGGAAAGGTTGTACCTCTGGCAGAGCTGTGTGATCTGCATCCTCAAACTTTCCCAGATTTTTTGCTGCAGCTGGGAGGGGGGTAAAATGGCAAGTCTCATTTTTTTATTGCTATACTTAGTGTTTCTTCTTCCCCAAGCACAACATTTCTTCATTTTATAACCACCATTCCCTTGTATTGATTATATTTACTCTTTTCAGAGTTGTCATTAACAGGCAAAAAATACCTCCAGCTTCTAAAACAAACATACCAACACACTGAGTGTGGGAAACAGCAGTTTTAGGGATATAAGTATCCTCCTGTTATTCTGGCTTTAATGCAAAAAAGAAACATTACTTCACTAGTTCATTCCAAGCACTATTTGCTCTGCACCAAACGGTTTCTGACGTTCTGCTGTGTAATTGTAGGTAACAACCAAATAGCATCTCAACAAGACTCTGGTGACACAACATGCCTTGTTTATATATACCAGATTTCAGGGTTCTGTAAGCTTCTGTGGTGTGTGGGGACCTCAAGTGAAATGCAAAATCAGACAGATCTTTTGTGAACCAAAGTGGAACAAGCCCCATGTTACAAGTTAAAACAAAACCAAGCAAACAAGCAAGCAAAAACAGAGAACCAAACATATTATCACTTCCTACTGGATCCAAACAGGAATGTCACATGGCACTTATCCTGCAGTTACCCATGGGTGATTGGGAGCAGCAGGACTATGATGCTTCCATGTTAAGCAGAACCACAATGTTGGATTGAATTTTTTTTTGTTTGTTTGTTTCTAAGCCATTTTTCTCCCACAAGGTCCTAGTGGTTGAGTTGCTCCTGCAATTAGAATGACAAACAACTGGGTGACATGCTGTGAAGAATTTAGAAAATGAGAAATGCTCTCCCATTTTCCAAACAGAGCAGAAACAACACTAATTCCACTAGGCAAGATGGAACAGACAATTAAACTGGGCATGCTTTTCATTTTGAAGCTAAGCAGATAATGGATGCCTTTTTTAAAAGGTAAGGACTGTTGAAGTGATTCCTTTACAGTGAACCAAACCCACTGATTTTCCTTGCTAAAATGAAAGCATTTACCTTATACAAAGTATAAGAAATGTTACCTGTTGCCTCCACCATTCCTTCTAGGATTACAACAATTTCTAGCTCCTCTTTGGGCAACTGGGCTTTGGAAATCTCCCAGAAAGGACTCTGCTGGTTAATCTCATGGCTGATGATCAGTGGTGAAACCAAAAAGAGACGATCATCCCCTGTGTAATAACCTACGTTGATATCTGTCTGGTTGAGTGGTATAAATTCCCCCTCCTTTGTCTGTTTGGATTTGATCAACTTGGCTCGTATTGATGCCTCTACAATGTGGGAATTCCTAAGGTCTCCTACTCGGAACATCAGACACAGCTTTCCATCCCGCATGGAAATAACTGCGTTGGTAGAAAACACCAAGGTTTCTGCCCTCTTCTTGGGTTGGGATATTTTCACAAACATGCAGCCAACCATGAAGGCGTTGACGATAGAACCTAGAACAGACTGCACTAACAGCAGGATAATTCCCTCGGGACACTTGTCCGTGATGACCCGGTAACCATACCCAATGGTGGTTTCTGTCTCGATTGAGAATAAAAAGGCTGAGACAAACCCATTGAGGTTGCTGACGCATGGGGTCCACGTGCTGTCCCCTATGTGATCCATGTCTCCTCGCATGTAGGCAATTAGCCACCAGATCATTCCAAAGAAGAGCCAAGTCACAGTGTAAACCATGACAAAAATCAACAGGTTGAACCTCCACTTGAGATCGACTAAGGTAGTGAAGATGTCAGTCAAGTACCGGTAAGTCTCTCTGACATTCCCGTGGTGGACGTTGCATTTCCCATCTTTCCTAACATACCTCTGGATTTTTCTCTTGGCACATTCTTTGTTTAGATTTTTTGGCAGATCCTCTCTAGCTTGTTTGGGCAACTTTGGTTGATGAATAGTGACAGGGCTCTCTATGTCCTGCTCCATTGAGTCTTCTTCCAGGACGTTAGCTGCCGTGAAAAACAAACAAAAAGGAGAAACACAGGCATTATTTTCCTTATTATTCCTCTAAGTCAACCCACAACTTCTTCCTGTATTATTCCTGGCATGAAATTGCTATGAATCAATAAAATGATCATCCTTGCTCTTTGCTAACGTAGTAGATGCACAACACAAAAAATCGAATGATGTCAAGCATCCTCCATTTATTGCTGAGCAAAAAGACAATGAAGGAAAACTCTCATTTCCTATCTATCTCTACACCCAGATTTCAATCCTGTGATGTGGGTTTAAGCAGAGCTTTCTCCCTCCTCCCCCACTTTACAGTTTAATGAATGAGATTTCTTATGCACCAACAAAGATCTTCCAGAGATAGGAGACATAAATGAGGAAATGGATTCACTTGGGGGTGAGCAGAGAAAATGAGCTATTGTTGAGCTATTTTTTCCATCAATTGCATTGCTGTAGGGGAAGTATTAAATAAGTACAAGGAGTAAAAAAAATAAAAAAGTCAAGAGTTTTCAGAAAGAACCAATCCTACCATTCCTGAAGGAAAGGTGGGCTACAGTGTAATATACACCCAGAGCAATTCAAGCACATTTCCATAGACAATCAATGTTTTGCTGATAATGAGACAGGGAATTGTGTGTCCTTCTCCCAATAATGTAAAACCTACAGGACTTCAGATTTCATTTTAATCGCCTGTGGCCTTTAATTCAAGTGTACCTTGTCCTCTAATGGTATGAGCCTAAACAGTGTTCTGTCATGACTGTCTTACACGATTTTAACCCCCCCAAAATGACAGTAATTGCTTTCTCTTTTAGAGTTTCCTTTTGAGATAAATAGCTTCATTATGTTTATGTGCCAAGGAAAAAAAGCATGTACTGAGGAAGAAGGAGACTAGTTTAATCTAATGTTTTGCATGAAGCTGAGGATACAGTGAGGTCTGGGGTAATTGTTTACTGGAAATCCCTCTGCCCTCTGGGTCTTGATCCTGCAGGATTTTCAGCTCTTTAGCTCCTGATTCTCTCTCTTCTGGCTAACTTCTCTCATTCTTCTGCCAGACTGTAAAGGGAAAAGTCTTCTGCTGGCTCTGCCTAGATGTTTGGCTCTAACTAACTACAGTCCAGAGAATCACAGAATCATATAATGGGTCAGGTTGGAAAGGACCACAGTGGTCATCTGGTCCAACCTCCCTGCTCAAGCAGGACCATCCTAGAGCATAATGATCAGAGAATCAGAGAATGATTTGGGTTGGAAGAAACCTTAAAGATCATCTAGTTCCACCCTCTGCCATGGGCAGGGATGCCACTCACTAGCCCAGGTTGCTCCAAGCCCTATCCACCCTGTCCTGGAACACTTCCCGGGATGGGGAAGAAGCTTCTCTGGGCAACCTGTGCCAGTGCCTCACCACCCTCTGAGTAAAGAATTTCTTCATAACATCTAATTTAAACAGCAGCACTAATGTGATGTTGTACCATCAGTTTATGGAGATGCTCTTCCTGACCAGAAAGGGCTACTGGTGTTCCCTGCAATGGTCCCAGTTCACACCAATATGCTCTAGTAACCACTGTGCAGGCCTAGGTGTGGGCTGCCCAGTCTGCTGCGGGTGGTGACCTTCAAGCAGAGATCTGGGAACAAGCATTTTGGGTTAGGAGCTCTGGTTACCTCTGGCCTGGCTGGAAACCAGGGCCATGAACCCATCAAACTCCTGTTTGACACAGCAATCCTGTCTCTGGCATCTCTCAGGGGTCTCTGCCTGGCACTGCCCTGAGCAGTCAACCCAAACCCTTTTGAGTGGGTGAACTACCAGGGGAAGCCTGGGATTTTGTCTGGGGAGGGTTGCACAAGGAGCTGCTCTTGGTAGGTCAGTATGGCTCAAAGTGCATTTTACTCTCTCATGTTCAGAAACATGTGCTATGTAGCAGATCATCTGAGGAGTCTCACAGCACCTGTAGCTTTTCAAGATGCACAGGTTCATCCCTGTGGAGAAAGATCACAGACCCTTGTAAAGTTTTTGTGGTGACTGAAATACCCAGGGCCAAAAAAGTATATGTTGTAGACTGGTTGTCTCTTCTTCACTGCCAGCCAAGCCTCTCTTCAGCCCCATCAAGTTCCTCTGTTCAAAGAAAGGCTCAAAGGCTGACAGTAGCACAGAAACCTGAGAGTAATTCTGTGTTTTAAGGCTGTGCACTCCATCCTGTGTCACCTTTTCAGTTTGCTGCTGTGTCTAACGAGCGGGTGATCGAGGCTGATGGCAGTAGTGGCACTGGAAGTCGTGTCACAAGGCCATCAGTGCTGAAGGAACTTTCCCCAGTGGGTGACAGTGTGCCTACTTGCATTAGCACTGATGCTATATAAGGTACAACAAAACACAGTTAAAGGCATTGCAGGGACCTTGTGAGGCAGACTTAAGCCAAAGCCAGAAAATCTGAAGTCAAGGCTTCACACTTTATGCTTAGCTCTCTATTGTGCCTGAGGAAATTTCAGTCCACAGGAGTTACATCTCTGCAGCAATAGACCCCTCAAACCCTTGTGAATAGCTCTGGCTTTTGAGGCTTTCTGTTACACTAGCAACGTTGGTGTAATGTAGCTCATTATCTTAAAGGCATTATGAATATTTTGCTTTCCCCTCCCAGTTACAGCCTGACATGAACACAGAGACAAGGTGTAGGTGTGTCCTGTTGCCTTTGAGAACATACTTTACTCCTGTCCTTGCTGTTAAAGGCAACCACGTCCTAGACCTTCCTGCCTGAGCATCTCTTACCAGAAGGTATACCAAAAGCCACAGCAGGGCTGGGAGGGGACACAGGTGGCATTTTATTAGTGGCATCAGGAGAAATCTGAAGGGACATCCCCATCCTATCTGCCACACCATCGCACACAGTGTTTATTCCTAGAGAAGTACTCACTAGCCATGAAGCACCTTCATCATACAACAGCTTTTACTGGTGCTTTCAAAATGCTTTGTGTTGATTAAGCTCTTGTGCATCACCACCAGCCTGTCCTGTGTTTCACAGACACAGAGCTGACCTGTGAAGAGAGGGAAGGGCCATGTTTCCTCAAGCATCCATAGCAGGAGCAAGGAGCTGGTCCCCAGCACATGGTGGTGGGCTGTGACTCTCACAGTCAGTGGGATCAGAGACCTGACCCTTCCAGTGTAGGAGGGATTTTCTTAGCCTTAAGAGGAGCACTGGGGCTGGCTCCCATCTGGCTGTGTAAGGGGACAGATTTGGACAACTAAACCCAGTGACTGCATTCAACCAGAGTCTCTCTCAGCACAGCATTTAGCTAACCTAACACTCACGCAGACATCTCAATCTTCCTGGGGGCATCTGACCATTTTGTAAACTCTTCAGGCTCTTTGCAGTGCTGTCATTTCTCAGCTCTCAGGCAATCTCTGAGAAGAAAAATTAAGGTCAAGCTTTTAGTCTTTTTCT